TCTAACCATGATTTCCCAGCCCGTTTTCGAGCTAAACTTGTTCCTCACGGGCTTCTGACCTGCACACCAAAAACAAGAAGAAAAACGGGAAAAACATACGAAAAACACAAATAGAACCAAAATAAAAGAAAACACGCGATAATCAACAAAATGAACTACAAACCAACAAAAATACCTAAAATGGGGAAAAAAAAAACGACAAAACAATATGGAAAAACGTAACAAAAATGGGACAAACAGTCGTATTAGAATATAATATCACTTATGGGCTAATGGGCTACTCCTCCTACTACCAATTGGTTTTTATGATGGACCCTCACTATGGTGAATTTAGGTTCACTCTGTTATGGTGGGTTCCGCCTGAATGGGACCATACCCGTTCCCCGAATTCTTACACAAGTGATATTCTAAAATATGCCAATATAGTCTACCCATAGAAAAATAAAAGAAAAAAGGAAATTGAGTATGAAAGCCAGCATTGGGCCCATACAAATCACCCCTATATATAATCCTGAATATGTTGAGCCTAAGTAGCAGTCTCGTGTGTTGCGTAAGCTTATTTGACATAAGTTTGTGTTTCGACACATGTTCAGATTTGGTTTTGATTATTTGTCTTGGTAATTACCATAAACTATTTTAACTTTCATTTTCTTAAATTACCATATACTACTCCTACATTTTTTATTTAATTCATATATTTATTATTATAAATATGTATTCATTTATTTTTATAACTTTATAACTTTTTTATTTGTATCTTATTTTTTTTTTATATATGATCTACCAAAATAATCAATGTTTAATGATCTTCGATTTGACATCCATATTGCATATAAAAAATAACTTCATCTATATTTATAAATAAATTTAATTTTATTATCAACTCAATATAAAAACATCAAAAACAATATAAATTATTTTATAAAATAAAAAAAATAGAATTCATTAATACACTATAAAATAATTATTTTATTGTATTTTTTCATAAATTTTGTAAAAAAATGAAAATTAAGTATTACATACAATAAATTTGTAGAAATATTATAAAATATTATTTCTCAATTTAAATAGGTTATATAGAAAACTAAATTTTATTATGTTATTTTAAATAATAAATATAAAAAATATAATAATTAAATATAATAAAATAATTTTATATTTCATAAAGTTAGAAAATAATACATTTCTACTTAAGTTCTAAATTATTAATTATATGAATTTAAAATACTTGAAAAATTAATAAACGTGAGACACTGACTCTATAAATATAAAATATAATCACAATACAATAAAACTTATTTTATTTTAGAAAAAAACGAATCAAATATATGTAGTTGTAAATTATATTAGTTTTATACATATATATTTTTTAATATATAATTAAAAAATATAATTTTTAACAAATTTATTGCAAAAATTAGGTATCATTTGAATTAATTATCACTTTGTTAATTATTTATTATTTTTTCATATTCATCATACATAATTTCACTATAAAAATTATAAATTATTTAAATTTTTATTGTACAAATATTAATATATTTAAATACCCGTGTATTGTACTAGTAATAAAAAAAAAGGCAGGGGATAAAGAATCCAATTCCAATACAGTAAACACAGGGCCCAATTTTTGCGAGTAAGCCAAGTAAAGCCAGACAAAAGAGTTGAACCAAACGGCAAGCAATACATACATACGAAACAGATTACCTGGCGAAGTACAAAATTATGCAACAACAAATTATGGCCAGTTTTACCCATTATTATTATTAGTATTAGTATTATTTTTAAATAACAAATTGAACTATACACATTTTCCACTGAACGTTTGAATTGTGATCATCAGGAAATGGAGCTGTCCATGCAAATTTAATTTAAGCAAGTTGAAGTTCGGCTCATTTATCACACGAGTCGGACCGAACTCGACCCTAAACGAATCAAGCCCAGCCAAACTCACGAGCGACAAGTTTCTTTTAACAACGCTCTCCTACAAACATAAAAGAAATTCTAATAACAAATTGCAATTACGTATGATTTTTTTTTTCATAATTTTATATGATAAATAATCAACAAACTACCAACATAAAAGATATTCTAATAACAAATTTGCAGTGATGTATGATTTTTCTTTTTTATTTTAAATGAAAATCCATCTATAAATTAAAAATAAAAGAAAATCTAATAACATTTGCATTGAAATATGATTAATTTTTGGTATTTTTATATGGAAAAACATTAAATCAATCTTATAAAATGAGGGTATGTAATCATGTTCGTGTGTAATCTAATCCATTAATTTATAGGTGATGTTCGGAAGCGTACGAGTGAGAAGGATAAACGAGATACTCTCTCGTAAAACACACAAAACTCACAATATCAGATTTATTCTCAAAATTCACCACCCCCATAATAAAAGAAGAGAGAGCTTTAAATAAGATACCTAAACATAAAACTCATCTTGTCCACTAAGTCACTAAATATAAATAAATATTAAATGCTAATATTAATAATATATTAATTAATTAATCTACCAAATATTTAAATACCAAAAATAATATATATTATTCTGCATCATTCTCCTTCGGTTGAGCAAGATTCGCCCTCGAATCCGACCCGGTCTCGTTGGAAATGTTTCCCATGACAGGAATTGTTCGACGTTTTCCTCTATCGAATACGAACGTTGAATGTCGCATCTGTCTGCAAGGCCGCAACAAATTCAGGTGGAAGAAAAGCTCGGGCCAACGCACCAGGTAACCTACCAATTCTTCCAGAACCATCGGCACGTCGTCAAGGGCACCAACATCATAAAACTCGACGTCAGTCTCGTCCGGACTAAAGAGGCTCGAAACAAACGATCTCTCATAAGAATCCACAACAAGATACAGAAGCCTATCAAAGCCTCCCATCGCGACAATAGTGCCCTTGTTCACGTCGCATCCTCCATCATGAGCAATGGATTTGCAAAATTCATCATTGACATCCACGCCCTGTGAGGCCACAACACGATTACCATCGATCGTCAAGATGAATCGCATGGTGTGCATATGCTCGGGATACTCCGTTTCTCCATCTGCGTAATGTCCACATCAGGTAGAGGCTCAATGAGGAATTCCTCTGGCCCCTGCCCCGGAGGCTCCTCATCGAAAATTGGCGGACCATCGTATAAACCGTCTACTTCCTCAAAAATCGCACTCTGTTGCCGCACATCTTGGTCGTCATGCGCAGCAACGAGCTTAGTCTCGACGGGCGGAGGCAGCCACTCTCTGAAGATGGTCTCCTTGCCGTCTACATCGCCGGGCGGCGGTAGTGGAGATCGTCGACGGGGCGCCCCGCCTGGAACACGACCCCCACTTTCTCCGTGAACTCCCCCGCACACACCCCGGTCGCCGGCGGCACGGTTCATCTGCAAATCCCAAACCACGTTGTTAAGCGTCAAACACAAATCCTCGATCCCCGTTGAAAGATCTACAAACCAATCCGTGAAACGCACATCCAACTGTTCAAATCGGTAGTCGATCTGTTGAAACCGATCGTTGAAGGTTGCATCACGTCGTTTGTTTGCGGCATCTTGTCATCCCGGCGACATCGTGAATCGTACCGACTGCTGATACCAACTGATGTAGGAAAGCGTACGAGTGGGAAGGATAAACGAGATACTCTCTCGTAAAACACACAAAACTCACAATATCAGATTTATTCTCAAAATTCACCACTCCCATAACAAAAGAAGAGAGAGCTTTAAATAAGACACCTAAATATAAAATCCATCTTGTCCACCAAGTCACTAATTATAAATAAATATTAAATGCTAATATTAATAATATATTAATTAATCTACTAAATATTTAAATACCAAAAATAATAGATATTATTCTGCATCATAATGGTGATGTGGGTTTATCCGACCTCGGATCTTTCCACATGGGAAAATGAAACTTACATCCTGCAACATTTCCAAACAGGAAGGGATCTGTCGATCGAGGAGGATTAGGGCATATGTAAAGAGTCAGGCTATTTGCGCTTTTGTTCCAATTGGGCCTGTTTTATTATATTTAATTAATGTTATGTAGTTGGACCACTTTATGTATTATCCCATTGAGTTGTTATTTGGGAAATTTTCATCTATCCTACAAGATTCTAAAAATATTGCAAACCTACGATTCATAAATAAATAATTACATCTCTACCTAATAGATAACATATAACTACATTAATGCTAAAGTCAGTTACCATATTCATTCAACCTTTATCCCACTTTTTATGGGCTTGATTAAGATAGAGAAATGAAAAATATGCATATAATAAATTATTAAATCCTTTAATTCACGTACCTGTCCAGATGGTATATTTTGCGTTTATGTTAGTATATATTCAGTATATGTTGCAATGAAAAATATGTATTCCATCAAAAAACATATTATAACAAAAAAATCTTGTAATATACTGAGCATATACTCCCTATACACACAACATATACGGAACAGTTTACAAAAAAATTTTCTAATATACTGAGCATATACTCTCTATATACACCACATATACAACAAAAACAAAAAGAAAAAAGAAAAGAAAAAAAGTACAATCGGCGTGTATAGAGAACTTAAAAAATACAATCGACATCCCCCTTATATATTAATTGAGAACGTGCTGAGCCTATGTGGTAGGCTCGCATGCTTCGGGATCCTATGTGGCAAAAATACATGTTTCGTTATTAGGCTTGGGTAGATTTAGTTTATTTCTAATCCAAATATATTTAGGTTCGGATTATCTATAATATGTTGATTATTTATGATAAGGGTGGGCGCCGGCCGGGACGGTCCTGGATTTGACTTGTCCGGATACCCATCCCACTTTTATGAACCCCATGAACGTCCGGGATGAGACACCGTCGGCACCCATGTAATACATGGGTGTTGTACTAGTAATTATTGATATGCCTTGAAAAGTACAATCGCATAGAGCACTTAAAAAATACAATCAACGCATAGCACAATTTACACAAATCAAGGCGCAGCATAAAACTTAAAAAGTACAATCCACAGAATAATTGATTTGCCTTGAACCATCTTCTTCGGCTCGATCAACACACGTCCCCATGTAGTTAGATTCTGCAGCAAACAAGCAAACAATGATTAACTCAAAATCCACAATCAAACACAAGTAAAAAGCTGATACGAACATCGGCGTCCAGAGAGTGTTTAGCATATGTGGCTTCTGCGGTCTAAATTTTTGTCTTGGCATTGAAGCAAATTCAGTATGTTAGGGAAAAGGAAGAGAGGTTTTTTTCGGAGGAGATGGTGAACGTGGGGCGGTGAGTGATTTTTTTACAGAGTGATTGGGTATCTTTGACCTGATTTTTTGGTAATTATATCAATTACATTTAATTTGCTCGGATTTCATTAATAACAGTTACATTACAATTTTAGGTATAATTGTATTTATGGCTTTGTTTTGTAATTTTATAATTAAGAATATAATGAGTGTAAAAGTGTAATATTAATTATATCTTATAGTAAGGGGTGCAAATTCTTCTTGTTATTTGGATTGCTTGGGAATAGTCTAGTTAAGTATTATCCAATTAGGAATATTCTATGGGCCCCACTGAATGTAATACTAGTGTGTATCCCGTGCGCTGCACGGAGGAGTTTTTACTTAAACCTTTTCTAAGACTTTATATTAAACATAGTTATTTATATTTAACATCTTATTATTATAAAAAAAGAAATACCAAATATGAAAAATTATATATTATTTATTTGAATATAATGAGTGTCCCCAGCCAAACTAATAACATCCAACATATGATATATGATAAAATTAATTATATGATCGTCATACTTTTTGAAAAAATATACATATATTTCTAATAAACATGTAAGATCCGCATTTAAATTTGTATTTGGATATGGGATGAAAAATGAATATGTACAAATAAAAAAGTACCAAGAACCTACATAAAATGAGATTCTTTATAAACTTTAAAATATTTTGTAGTTAAGCAAATATTAACAAACAAAATCATCAATTAAGTTGAACTTATCGAATATAAAATATAATTTATGATATCATTGACCATATTTACCCGTTGTATTTAAAGTTATCATTGACCATATTTTTATGAATTAAGGTTTACAAAATATCTTTTTCAAAATAACATTTTTTTTTTAATTTGAATTTGACATTTTCATCCAACCGCCATTTTCCACAAAAATAAAAATAGTATTTTGGAAAATTTTAGACGTGAAAATCAAATAAAATTAATTTAATAGTAATCGATTAATTTAATATTATTCAAAATTGTTTAATTCGGTCAACCCGATCTTAGTGCACGTTTAATTGAAACAATCGCTTACAAAAAAAAAAGGTAATCGCTTACAAAAAAAGGAAGTGAAATCTATCTATATAATATAAATCAGATTTGAAAAAAAAA